ATAGGAATCACCACTGCATGGTGCTTGTCAGTTGCATGCTTTCAGGTTCAAAAATCACTTGAGATGTAAAAATGACAGTCATGATGGGTTAATACATAAAAAATCCCAGCAAGAGACATGAAGAATCTTTCTTGTTCATACTGAATGTGTGTTGATAAAAACTGCATTGTTTAAAATTTGCTATAATTATGAGGAAGGAGTGATCATTATCAAGGATAGATCATTCAGTTATAAACAGTGTGGACAGAGAAATCAGCACTGCATGGTCACTGGCAGTTTTTCATCTTAAATCCTAAATGTTCATTTGGTTGTTTAGATGTTCATGTATTATATTTCTCCATCCATCTATCTATCTATCTATCTATCTATATATATATATATATATATATATATATATATATGGTATGAAAGATATCTTTGTTTCTGTGTATCCAGTCAATACTTTTATTTATATTATTCAAAATTTCATTTTTTTTTCAATCATTTAAACATATAAGATTTGGGTCAAACAAACATTAGATGTTATTTTCCTGTTTTTTTCTTCTTTGATTTTTTTTTTCATTAATTAGAAATTTGGCTATTTTTTTAATACTGTTTCAGGAATATCGCATGATTAAAGAAAATAATTAAAAAGAATATTTTCTCATAAAATGGACTGGCCCATTGAAATTCTTTGGCTAATATGTCTCCTAATTCTTGAAATCCTAAGTCTCATCAGAGAAATTCTTCCTGATAAGCAAATACTGAATGATGAAGGATAATTATGATATAATAAATGAATTTCCTGGCCAGACAATATTCACTCAAGAAGTTGTTAGCTGCTGGGGCATGGGAAGTGGGCAAGTTGTTCAAATAGATTTCTTAGACCAAAGAGTTTCTTTTGTTTTGATTGGCTTTAAAGATTCTTGTCTGGTTAAAAATAGAAATATATATAGCTTTTTTCTTTGCATTTTCTTTTATTCACAGTAATTAATTTTGATTCTTAAATTTATCACAAACTTCAATACAGGATTTTATTTTTTATCTTAACCTTCATTTTTTTTTTCTACGAATATCTTTATTCGTAAATGTGCCCACCAATTTCTTCAGAATTATGGTTTCATGCCATAAAAGACTCTAATTAATCAAATCTGAAAGCAAAAAATAAATGAAAACTTGGCTCTTTAAATTCAATATGTGTCAGTAAATTTAACACTGAGAACAGAAATTTAACTATCTGGGATGGAAAATGACAATAGAAAATGTGACACAGAAATCCAAAGGTGCATTGGAATAGCAAAAGATGGCTTCCAAAAGCTAAGCAAAATATTAAGAAACAGGAAAATTTCATGTTGAACTGGTATGTAGTATCAATCCTACTATATGGTAGTGAATATTGGACAATTTTTTCACTGATGTGCTTCTACAGAAGGATTCTGAGAATACCATGGAAATAACATGTGAACAAAGACAATGAGATTGAGTCTTAATTGAAATGGGAATGAATTTAGAATCATAAAGAGACTGCTGAAATTTCTAGGATACATAATGAAAAAAAAGGAATTGGAGAATTTGACACTCACAAGACAGAGTGAAGACAAAAAGGCCAGACAGTAAACAGTAAGTAAACTACTTAACACACTTGTGTAAATGGAGGGCAGAACAGAGACTGTAAAGGGACAAAAATTGCTAAGAGTTCCAAAGGATAAGTAATTACAGAGAGCCATGATTATGCATGTCCTGAAGGGACAAGGCATATAACGGAAGGATACAGTTATGTATTTCTTTATGCTTTTATACTCCTTCTCTTGCACTCATCAAAAATTACATTTCAGTCAACCAAACTATCTTCAGGAATAAACACAATATAAATTTGAAAATATTCATTATTCTAACTTTATAATCACAGTTGAAATTACAGGAGAAATAAAGTTGTTTTTTCATCCCTACTAACTAATTAAAATGGAATAATTGAGTCTAATCTGTTGACCATTACTATTGGGTTGTAAATTCAATCCAAAACTGTTTGCCCCATACAAAATTCAGCATTAAATAACCCAACAAGGTTTGACATGTCATGCAATCAACCAATGAAATAAAGTTTTATATTTAGAAAGGCATGCCTGATTGACCATTAATTGTGGCTAGTGATTTCAGTCTACACTGTATACCCCAGAATTCAACATTATATAACCCAACAAGCTTTAACATGCCATAAAATCATACAACCTATCCTAATGATGACCCCAGATGATACTCACAAATGATTAATTCATCAAGGGACATAACCCATCTGGTGGTGAGCAACACTTTGGCTTAGAGGAGTGAATGAGGAAAAAATTTCACTCCAACCCCACCAGATGCACACTATTCAGATTCTCTTACCCTGTGGACTTGTTTCTCTTCTAGTATGTGAAGGTGGTATAATGGCTAGTGACTGAGAATGAGAAATCAGATAGAGTTTGAATTCCAGTTAGATTTATTACAGTCACTTAATCACAAATACCCTTTGGGAAAGGTATGAAGTCATTTCCCTCTTTCCATCTATGGCTTAAATATTAGGCCACATAAATGAAAAGATCATTGTTATTCTTAAAAATATTGATAACAATAATTGCTTGAAAAAAATTATTCTGACAATCCAAAATATGTTTTGGCTTTAAACAGCTGACAAGGGGTTGATAAGCCATAAAAAAAACAATGAATCAATCAATCCTATCTTCTATGGGCACACTGTCAGCAAGATTGGCATACCAATATGAACTCTGCTCATATTTACTCATTATAGTAATTACATGAATCTAAAACACCATATTAATCAGTGCAAACATTGCTTATTCAAATACATGTGTAATGCCACCTGTGATAATTAATAATGATTCCCTCAAATGGCCAATTCATCAAGAGGACATTACCCATCTGGTGGTAAGAAACACTTTGGGTTAGAGGAGTGAATAAGGGAAAAGGAATTGTAAAGAAGTAACCTAAATGTCATGTAATTTTGAGATAAATACTTATTATACATGCAAGTAAATAATGTAGTAAGCTGGGTTATTTCTTTTGGATTGAATACTTATTTTCTCAGTTGTATAAAGTTTAATTGGTGTTTCTGTTAGTCAATAAAATTTTACACTTGTTTTGGACTATTACTGACTAGAACACATTTCAACCCATTTGCTATACAACTTAAGCCTACAGTGATTGGTCTCCTGTCCATAATATTAGCACATTTGGTGCAGTATGGTATTTAGATACTGTTTTCTTTTTAATGTGCATTTTACATTTTGGCAAATACTCTTGAACTTCAGGAAGCCTTATGAGCTGTTTTTCATTTTGTTGGACTACTTTCTTTTTTGTTTTAATAAATATTAACAAAATATATATCACGTAAAGCCATTACAAAACATTCCAACATATATTTTATATTTTATCCCAGACAGCCACAAGCAGTGGTAATTCATGTACAAAGATGTGGCTTGAGATACTGGATAAAATATAGCATCTAAACAGACCACAAATTTATATTCAAATCAACGAGAATGCATTGGATAACCACAAAGTACAAATGTTTGTTTCCCAAGATAACTTATCGCATGAAGCCAGTATTATAAATTGTTAGTTTGCTTTTTCTATGTGAAAGTGCTGCAAAACATCTATTATCCTAGATGACTGCAAACTCATCGACAAATACTATGTCGACTCTCATGAAATTCTGAATGATTGCATATTATTACTGTGTCATATTTGAAACACATTTTTCTTAAAAATCACATCAAAAACAATGTATCACCTATTAGTCTTGGCATGAAAATAGATTAGTGAATTTATCACTGGTTTCCATGGTGAATAATGCAACACAAAGATCAATGTATGTTTTCTGACTTTGGTTTAGGCAAGAAATTAACATCGCAGCCTGTAAAAAATCATTATGCTAACAATGCCCGCAATATTCCAGAAATGCATAGAATTAATTTTATATTAGCCATAATGGTTAAGATATCTATTTTTGATGTTTTTATTTATAAACTGTCTACATGTTTCAGTTGGATGCATGTCTTGAAATTGTATAACAGTGATTTGAGATAATTCTTAGACAGTTGAGGCTATGAAAAAAATCTTTAAAAAATTAAATCTTTAGCAAGTTATTAGTCTCTGTAAAAGTAATTTTTTTATTGATGTTCACTCTATACAAGGTCCAAGAACCACTCAATGTAGGCGGGGTTAGTGGCAGAGGTTGTCAGAGTAAAAGTTAAGAAGTGCAGTTTATGGGAATATGTGGGAAAGATAGCAGTTTACACTAGACTTAAAGATTGCTTACTTTTTATATATGAACTATATGTATTCTTTATATATGCAAATGATTTGGATAATGTAGGCAATAACTTTTGTTTGATCAGTTTCTAAATGTCAAACATCTCTAAATATAAATGTCAATTATTTTTTTTTTGGATAGATGCAGTTTGTTGTGTTGGTTTAAAATTAATTTTTAAGTGCAAAATCTTCCCTGGTTTGATACAATCAGAAAGAAATGGGTAAATTTTGAAAATACATCATTTATTTATGATCCTAGAATAAAGTAAATATTGCTTCTTCTATAGTCTCATTGACACAAGGCCAAATGCGGAGGAGTGATATTAAAATGGGTTTATGCATTTTTTTATAGATATGGAAAAAACCTCGATATATCAACTTCAAGCAACCTGTGTGATAAATCGAGGATCAATAAAAAGTGGAATAAAAAAAGAAACAACTAAACATTAAACCAAAGCCCAAACAATCGTTCAGTGTTTTTAATGCTTTTAGTTCAAGAAAAAAACAAGTAAAAAACAACTACATAAAAATGCAATCCACACACTTAGAAGAGCAAAAACCTAATTTAATCCTAAATTTTCTACCTTTTGTTTCATTTTTTTATTTTCAGGGCAAAAGCCAGCTGAAAGGAAAATTATGGAACAGTATTTCTTCCAAATCCAAAAATAATGACCTTGTCAAAAAAAAAAAATAGTAAATAAGACAAACAAATGTTGTCTATGTACTTTATTGAACATCCGACAAAAATATTCTTTCTTTCTTTCAATCTTTTCTTTCTCTGGATCTTTTTTTCTTTCTTTTTTTTATCCGGATCTTTCTTTCTGTCCTGCCAAATTTTCAAAAATACTTATTTTGAAATTTTCATTTTTGAAAATTCAATAGGCTTTCTTATATATATATATATTATATATATATATATATATATATATATATATATATATATATACTATTTCTCTAATAAAATTGAGAATAGAAATCCTTTTTTTAAGCCACAACAAAATATCGATAGAAAATTGAGACAGCTATCGAAGATTGAATCAATGTGAAACTTTCATTTATAAACAATTTATTTTCCTCGTCTTAATGCTATATAAATAAATGAATATTTATCTAAAGTTAAACAGGGTGATGAAAAATATCAAAACAACTGTATTAGCTTCAACAAAAAGTAGTAAAGGATTTTGAGAATAAACGATTAACCATCAGTTGTAACAAGACAAAATAAGTCTTCATATAATTCCCCCTGTCGTCTTTTTAAACCTGATGAGGTTTTCTGATTTAATTTTATAAAGAATAAATCGAAAAGGAGTAACGTTTCTGAATTACACCCTTGAACAATAAAGAACATTTTCTGAAATGGCATATTTTTTTTTTAACATTCTTAGAATATATACGATCGTATTTGTATCTTGTTTTTTTTACTTTTTTATAAAGTTGATTAATAAAAAAAATGGTACAGAATCAACTTCAAAATGTACGGTGAAAAAAACAATGCAAAAAAAATGTTTGTGTTATAGTGTGTGTGTGTGCCGTTAACATTTAAAAAATGATATGTTGATTAACTAAGGTCGTAGAAACGTTTCGCTGTTGATATAGTCGAGAAGACCACAAGCTGTCATCATGTGATGTCGTTAATTTCATCCAAATTTCATTATTTGTTGACGTGATGCAAGATCGGAGCTGGTAGAGAAAAAAAGTGCAACACAGTTATTGTTTTAATTTTATTCTTTTAAGGACTTGGAGATGAGAAGACTATTTAGCTTTTTTTGTTTTTGTTCTTTTTTGTTTTTACCCCAGATTACAACTGTGTATAAATATTAAATTTGTTTATTCGTTCCGGGGTTATATACTTTTTTCCGACATTTTTCTTGTTTTCGTTTGTACTGAAAAATTTTCCTAACAATATTATGTCACGTGATTTTTTAAAAGAATTATTACTTGAATCATTTGAGAAAAAAGATATTCTCATTTCTTGAAAATTCATTCAGTTCTTTTTTTCCGTTTTCTTTTCGTTTTTCTTTCTTTCTTTCTTTCTTTCTTTTCTTTTTTTCTTTCTTTATTTCTTTATTTATTTATTTCTCAGCAATTTGTAGATATCGTATATTTTTGGTAAAATTCGCTCCTATTTTCTCTTTCTTTCTTTCAATCTTTTTTTCTCTCCATCTTTATTTTTTTTTTTAGCCTTTTTTTCTTTCTTTCATTCATTCTTTCTTTTTTTCTTTCTTTCTTTCTTTTCATTTTTTCTTTCTTTTTTTTCTTTCTTTTTTTTTTCTTTCATCTTTCTTATCTTTTTCCTCACCTGTCTTCCAACTTTTTTTTTTTCCTTCAACCTTTAATTCTTTCTCAGCGATTTTTTTATTGTATTTTTCAGATATTCTTTTTCAATTGAACTTTTTTCTCTTTCTTTCTTTTTTCTTTCTTTCTTAACTTTTATTTTCCTTTTTATTTTTACATTTTTATTTTCTTTTTCTATATTTTACTGACATTTTTATTTTTTATGTAGACAAATTACATATTCTTCAGTGCTTTTCTTTCTTTTTCCTTTCTTTTTTCTTTATCGTTTTCTTTCTTCATTCTTTCTTTTTTTCTTTCTTCGTTCCTTTCTTTCATTCGTTCCTTCTTTCTTTCCCTTTTATTATATTCTCTTTTACAAGCTTATCTATTATATTTTATTTCTTTCTTTCTAGTTTTCGTTACATTTTCTGTATTTTAAAAAAATCAGTTTGGTTTTCTTATTTTTCTATTTTTTTTCCT